GCCCCAGGACAGGAATTGTGGGAATTGAAGTCCAAAACACCTGGAAATATTGAATTCCAAAATCATAGAATCATAGAATCAAAGAGTTGGAAGAGACCTCCTGGGCCATCCTCCAGTCCAACCCCATTCTGCCAAGAAGCAGGAATATTGCATTCAAATCACCCCTGACAGATGGCCATCCAGCCTCTGTTTCAAAGCTTCCAAAGAAGGAGCCTCCACCACACTCCGGGGCAGAGAGTTCCACTGCTGAACGGCTCTCACAGTCAGGAAGTTCTTCCTCATATTCAGATGGAATCTCCTCTCTTGTAGTTACCTGGGAAATACCTATATGGTTCATATATGGTTCAAATAGGTGGATGACACCTTCACCATTTGGAGCCATGGAGAAGAAGAACTCAACAGGTTCCTGGACCATCTGAACAGCATCCACCCAAACATCCAGTTCACCATGGAAAAAGAAAATGAAGGAAGACTGCCTTTTCTAGATGTCCTCGTCATCCGCAAACCAGATCCATAATTGGGTCACACCGTTGACAGAATTTACAGAATCATAGACTCCTAGAGTTGGAAGAGACCTCCTGGGCCATCCAGTCCAGTCCAATCCTATTCTGCCAAGAACCAGGAAAAATGCATTCAAAGCACCCCCGACAGATGGCCAGTGGAGCCTCCACCACACTCCGTGAACCAACCTGGACACAGCATATTATTTGAGAACACAGAAGTGCTGGACCACTCTCACAACCACCATGTCAGACTACACAGAGAAGCCATTGAAATCCACAAGCATGTGGACAATTTCAACAGAAAGGAAGAAACCATGAAAATGAACAAAATCTGGCTACCAGTATTAAAAAACTCTAAAATTACAACAGCAAAACAGCAGAGAGGAAACAAACAAGGACATCTAATCACCTCTCAACAAAAGATTGCCCCAGGCACTTCCAGGCCATCAAATGCTAATCAAGGCGGTCAGTTGAAACATTATGGAGCCCCCGGTGGCGCAGTGGGTTAAACCCCTGTGCTGGCAGGACTGAAGACCGACAGGTTGCAGGTTCGAATCCGGGGAGAGGCGGATGAGCTCCCTCTATCAGCTCCAGCTCCTCATGCGGGGACATGAGAGAAGCCTCCCACAAGGATGGTAAAAACATCAAAACATCCGGGCGTCCCCTGGGCAACGTCCTTGCAGACGGCCAATTCTCTCACACCAGAAGCGACTTGCAGTTTCTCAAGTCACTCCTGACACAACAAAAAAAAAGTTGAAACATTCCCACCTAGCTCCAGCAGACAAGAGTCCTTTGTCCCACCCTGGTCATTCCTCAGATATATAAACCCCTTTTTCCTACTTCCAACATACCTCACTCCCTCTGAGGATGCTTGCCACAGATGCAGGCGAAACGTCAGGAGAAATGCCTCTTCAACATGGCCATATAGACCCCCAAAAAACCTACAGCTACCCATCCACACCTAGCTCCAGCAGACAAGAGTCCTTTGCCCCACCTGGTTATTCTACAGATCTATAAACCCTTTTCCCTAGTTCCAACATACCTCTCTACCTCTGAGGATGCTTGCCAGAGATGTAGGCGAAACGTCAGGAGAGAATGCTTCTGCAACATGGCCAGGCAGACTTGAAAACTTACAGCAGGCCAGTGATTCCGGCCCTGTTAGCCTTTGACAATACAATTCCAAAACACCTGGAAATGGGAGGGGCCTGAGGCCAGGAATTGTGGGAGTTGAAGTCCAAAACACCTGGAGGGAAGGCCCAAGTGGGCCCACGCCTGGTGTATACACACACATTGTTTTATTCCTCGTCGTGATTTACTTATTAATTCAAACACTGTTTTAAAAAACCACTGCCATATATAATGCAAATAATATCTCCTTTTTGACTTTAGTTTGCTTTAAAACGCGGGAAGTCAGGCAGGGAGGAAGACAGCCCTCCTCTTCTCCTCTGGGGTCCTTCAGGTTTTCCCATACGCGACGCTGGATCGTCGCCCCTAGCAACAAGCCACGCCCCCGCTACAGTTCCGAAGAGTTCCTTGGTTTAGGTTCTTGTGGGTTTTTTCAGGCGATATGGCCATGTTCTAGCAGCATTTTCTCCTGACGTTTCGCCTGCATCTGTGCAAGCATCCTCAGAGGGAGTGAGGTCTGTTGGAAGTAGGAAAAAGGGTTTATATATCTGTGGAATAATGTCCAGGGTGGGACAAAGGACTCTTGTCTGCTGGAGCTAGGTGGGAATGTTTCAACTGACCACCTTGATTAGCATATAATGGCCTGACAGTGCCTGGAGCAATCTTTTGTTGAGAGGTGATTAGATGTCCTTGTTGTAGGTTTTTTCGGGCTATCTGGCCATGTTCTAGAGCCCACCTCCTCCAAGGTGAATGGAACCACCTCAACTGGGCTCTCCAGGCCAAGGGAGACTTCACCTCAGACATCAGAAGAGCTGCAAGACCAAGAAGAAGCCACGAGAGTAAAAACGAAGACCCACCCAGAGGAAGAGTGTTCCTGCCAGACATCAAGGGAACCACTGATCGCATAGGGAAGCTGATGAGGAAACACAACATACAAACAATCTCCAGACCCACCAGGAAAATCCAACCAATGCTCCGTTCAGCAAAGGACAAGAGGGATCCTCTCACCTCTGCAGGAGTCTACCATTGTATCCCATGCAGCTGTGGACAAGAAGTCTCCAGAGGGACCACCACACGCAGCAGCAGAATGGCCCAGACACGCATCAAGGAACACGAAAGGCACTGCAGACTCCTTCAACCAGAGAAGTCAGCCATAGCAGAGCACCTGAGGAACCAGCCTGGACACAGCATATTATTTGAGAACACAGAAATGCTGGACCACTCTCACAACCACCATGTCAGACTACACAGAGAAGCCATTGAAATCCACAAGCATGTGGACAATTTCAACAGAAAGGAGGAAACCATGAAGATGAACAAAATCTGGCTACCAGTATTAAAACAACTAAAAAATTACAACAGCAAAACAACAGAGGGGAAACAAACAGGCACATAAAACACCTCTCAACAGGGGATTTTCCCAGGCTCAGGCAGGACTTCAAATGCTAATGAAGGTGGTCAGTTGAAACATTCACACCTGGCTCCAGCAAGGAAGAGCTCCTTGCCCCACCCCAGCCATTCCACAGATATATAAACCCACTAGCTGTGCCCTGCCACGCGTTGCTGCAAAGTTGAGGTAGATATCTGGACTATTATGTGTGTGCAGCGGCGGGTGGAATGATGGAGCCTGGGGTTGCGTGTGTGTGTGCGGCGGCGGGGGGAGTGGGGTTGCGTGTGTGTGTGCGGCAGCGGGGGGAGTGATGGAGCGGGGGTTGCGTGTGTGTGTACGGCGGCGGGGGAGGGAGGGTGGGGTTGCGTGTGTGTGTGCGCGGGGGGGGAGTGGGGTTGTGTGTGTGTGGCGGCGGGGAGTGATGGAGCGTGGGGTTGCGTGAGTGTGTGTGCGGCGGCGGGGGAGTGATGGAGCATGGGGTTGCATGTGTGTGTGTGGGGGGGGGGGGAGCGTGGGGTTGCGTGTGTGTGTGGCGGCAAGGGAGTGATGGAGCGTGGGGTTGCGTGTGTGTGTGCGGTGGGGGGGGTGATGGAGCTGGGTTGCGTGTGTGTGTGCAGCGGCGGGGGAGTGGGGGTTGCGTGTGTGTGCGGCGGGGGGGGAGTGATGGAGCTGGGGTTGCGTGTGTGTGTGCGGCGGCGGGGGGGGGTGGGGTTGCGTGTGTGTGTGCGGCGGCGGGGGAGTGATGGAGCGTGGGGTTGCGTGTGTGTGTGCGGCGGCGGGGGGAGTGAGGTTGCGTGTGTGTGGCGGCATGGGAGTGATGGAGCGTGTAAAAGGAGTTAAGATTGGGGCGGGGAGTGATGGAGCGTGGGGTTGCGTGTGTGTGTGCGGCGGCGGGGGGAGTGATGGAGCGTGGGGTTGCGTGTGTGTGTGCGGCGGCGGGGGGAGTGGAGGTTGCGTGTGTGTGTGCGGCGGCGGGGGGAGTGATGGAGCGTGGGGTTGCGTGTGTGTGTGCGGTGGCGGGGGAGTGATGGAGCGTGGGGTTGTGTGTGTGCGTGCGGCAGGGGTGTGTGTGTGTGCGGGAAGCGGCGCGGCGGGGCTTGGAGTGGGCATGGCTTCTGCAGAGGGAACGTTGGCCGGAAGGCTGTGTGCGCGCGCCAGGGAACTTGCGGCTGGGCACCAATGCGCATGCTCAGTTGTTTTGCCGTTTTGTGAGTGTGTTGTTGTGTTGTTTTTCATTTTGAGTAGATATGTTTGTACCTTGTGGGTTGTGTTATGGGCATGGGAATTTTGGTTAAGTTTCGTTGGGGGGTTGTGGAGCTTTGCTGTCCGGTTGAACCAACCTAACAGATTTATATATATAGATTGTCCTACTTCCAACAGACCTCACTCCCTCTGAGGATGCTTGCCATAGATGCAGGCGAAACGTCAGGAGAGAATGCTTCTAGACCATGGCCATATAGCCCGAAAAAACCCACAAGAACCTAGTGAGGGAGACAACTTTAGTCAGGCAGTGGGGAGGACAGCCCTTCTCTCCCCAGGGGTCCTTCAGGGCTGCGTCACCGCGCACGACGCTAGACGGTCACCCCTAGCAACAAGCCACGCCCCCAGCACGGTTCGGAAGAGTTCCTCGCTTTAGTCAGGCAGTGAGGGAGACAACTTTAGTCAGGCAGTGGAGAGGACAGCCCTTCTCTCCTCAGGGGTCCTTCAGGTTTTCCCATACGAGACGCTAGACCGTCGCCCTTAGCAACACGCCACGCCCCCAGCACGGTTCCGAAGAGTTCCTCGCTTTAGTCAGGCAGTGGGGGAGACAGCCCTTCTCTCCCCAGGGGTCCTTCAGGGCTGCGTCACCGCGCACGACGCTAGACCGTCGCCCGTAGCAACAAGCCACGCCCCGTTAAAGGCGCGAAAGGAAGCGGGGACAAAGTGGCCAATGGGAAGTGCCGGAAGAGGCGCGCCCGTGATGACGCAGGGGAGGCACGCCCCCTTCTCGGCGCAGGCGCAGTCCGGCTCCTGCTCCTCCTGTTCTGTTGAGGCGTAGGATGATGATGGCGCTGAGCAAGACCTTCGGGCAGAAGCCCGTCAAGTTCCAGCTGGAGGAAGATGGCGAGTTCTACATGATCGGATCCGAGGTGAAGCCGGGGAGAAGGGGGAGAAGGGAAGGAAGGAAGGAAGGAAGGAGGCCTGGCCAGTATTTCCTTCCATTCAGGAGGAGGAGGAGGGTGGCTTGGGCCTTGTGGTCGCTTCTCCTTCCCCATCTTGTTGTTGTTGTTGTTGTTATTATTATTATTATTATGTGGTATCTTCTAACCATTCTATCCTGTATTATTAATATTAATATTCTTCTACCATGATTACTATTAACAATACATGACAAAGTTGGAAGAGACTTAATAATAATAATAACAATCCACTCTATCCTGTATTATTAATATTAATATTCTTCTACCATGATTAATATTAACAATACATGACAAAGTTGGAAGAGACTTAATAATAATAATAGGAACAATATTACTATTGTTCTATTATTATTATGATTATTATTATTATTATTATTATTATTATTCTCTCTTCCAGCTCTATCATATATTAATAATATTGGGTTGCTATTTTTCTGTGGGAGGCAAGTGTGAATGTTGTAAATAATCACCTTGATTAGCATTGCAAAGCCTTTATTATTATTATTATTATTATTATTATTATTATTATTATAACTTTATTTGTACCCCGCTAGCATCTCCCGAGGGATTCGATGCGGCTTACACAGGCCGAAGCCCCAAAACACAGTACAACAATACAATACCTAAAGCAAACCAAAAACAGTTAAGCAGGAAAAAACAATAACAGTAACAATACAACAAGACACTATTAAAACTGGGCTGGCCAGAGTAGGGGCTTCAAGGCCTGGATGATTCCTGTGTGGGGGATTCCTTTGTTGGGAGGTGTTCACTGGTCCTGATTGTTTCATGTCTGGAATTCCCCTGCATTCAGATTATTAATATTGTTCTATCATCTCTATATATAAAAATGCTCTGTGCATAATGAGTACCTTGAAAACAAAAGAACCAATGAACGAAATCACACCAAATTTGGCAACAAAACGTCTCACAACACAAGGAGTGACCACCACTCAAAAAATTATGATTTTGTCATTTGGGAGTTGTAGTTGCTGGGATTTATAGTTCACCTACAATCAAAGAGCATTCTGAACTCCACCAACAATGGAATTGAACCAAACTTGGCACACAGAACTATCATGACCAACAGAAAACACTAGAAAGGTTTGGTGGACAGTGTCCTTTGGTTTTGGAGTTGTAGTTCACCTACATCCAGAGAGCACCAAACAATGATGGATCTGGACCAAACTTGGCACAAATACTCAATATGCCCAAATATGGACACAGATGGAGTTGGGGGGAAATAGACTTTGACATGTGGGAGTTGTAGTTACTGGGATTTATAGTTCACCTACAATCAAAGAGTGTTCTGAACCCCACCAATGACCGAATCGGGGCAAACTTCCCACACAGAACCCCCATGACCAACAGAAAATACTTAAGGCCATCCAGTCCAACTCCCTTCTTCACAAGGGCAAGAAAACGTAATCAATGCCCTCCTGATAAAGAGGCATCCAGCCAGAGATATAGATAGATAGATATGATTCACACACACAGAGATATAATATCATATATTTGAAAGGGACCCCTAAGGAAAGACAATGATGTGTTGCATGTTCCAGAGTAGGTAAACCAGACACTCTCCACATCAACAATGACAAAGAAACAGCAAAAAATACTGTTTACCCACAAGCATCAAGGCGTTCCATATATTAGAAACCAACACTTTCTCATTACTTTATTTCCCAGATCAACAGACTGGGCCACAGCAATGCCTGACAGGGGACAGCTAGTACATGATAAAGTTGGAAGAGACTTAATAATAATAATAATAATAATAATAATAATAATAATGGGTTGCTTTTTTCTGTTGGAGGCAAGTGTGGCTGTTGTAATTAATCACCTTGATTAGTATTGCAAAGCCTTGCAGCTTCAAGGCCTGGCTGATTCCTGCCTGGGATAATCCTTTGTTGGGAGGTGTTCACTGGCCCTGATCGTTTCATGTCTGCATTCAGATTATTAATATTGTTCTATCATGTATTATTAATATTAATCATGATAGAACAATATTAATATCAACAATACATGATAGAGATGGAAGAGACAATAATAATAATAGACCTGTAATAATAATAATATTAATAATAATAATAATGATAATAATAATAATAATAATAATAATAATAATAATAATAAAACTTTATTTGTACCCTGCTACCATTTTAGAGGTTTTTAATACTGGTAGCACAACAACAGAGAGGAAACAAACAAGGACATCTTGTTATAGATCTATATACATTTCAGCCTGGGATCAGAATAACGACATCAATAAGCCAGACTTTTTTCTTTTCCACAATCGTGATGCCTGGCGTATTGTGTTCCAAAACTTTGTCAGTCTGGATTCGAAAGTCCCACAGTATTTTTGCGTGTTCATTTTCCATGACCTTTGCGGGTTTATGATCCCACTAGTTCTTTACTACTGGGCGGTGTTGTTGTTGTTGTTGTTGTTATTATTATTATTTGAAACACAACAAGATGAGTCCACAGCAGACACTCTGCTGGCTCTTGTATTGGATCACACGTCAGGTACTTCCCAAGTGTCTAAGACTGTGTGATGTATCAGCGAATAAAGTGTGCAGATCCCAGTAAGGTGGCCTTTTGCAGCTAGCAAATGGTAGTCTTGTCAGCGCCGATTGTGTTTAGGTGAAGGCCAAGGTGTTTAGGCACTGCACCCAGTGTGCCGATCCCCACTGGGACCCCCTTGATTAGCTTGTGCCAGAGCCTTTGCAGCTCAATCTTTAAATCCTCATATCATGTCATCTCTCCCAGTTGTTTCTCTGCAATCCTGCTGTTGCCTGGGATTGCGACATCAACTATCCATACTTTGTTTTTCAACACGATTGTGAGGTCAGGAGTCTTGTGCTCCAAAACTTTGTCTGTCTGAATTCAGAAGTCCCAGAGTAGCTTCAAGTGTTCATTTTCTGCAACTTTTTCCGGCTTGTGATCCCACCAGTTCTTTGTGGCAGGCAGATGGTGTTTGTGGCACAAGTTCCAGTTAATCATCTGAGCAACGGTGTTGTACCTCTGCTTGGAGTCCGTCTGCGTGATCTTCTTGCAGCAGCTGAGGATGGGATCTATTGTTTCATTGACCTTTTGGTCTCTTCCACCTCTTCCAGAGGGAGATGGTGGGGGGCATAGAGATCTTTTTCCGCCCCTCTCCTCCTCCCACCCACTTCCTCTCCTTCCCTTCTTTCTCCTCCGCCTTCCCCAATCCACCAATGCAGGTGGGGAACTACCTGCGCATGTTCCGGGGCTCCCTCTACAAGCGCTACCCGTCCCTCTGGAGACGCCTGGCCACCGTCGAGGAGCGGAAGAAGATCGTGGCCTCCTCCCATGGTGAGGATGGAGTCGTCTGGGTCTCTGCTGGGAGGGATTGGATGGCCTCATCCTGACTCATAATGTTATTATATACAAAGCATGGAATGTCCATAATACAAAGGACATTAGAAAGGCTGACATTTAAATCATCGCAGTCGCGTTTTGGGGATGGGGACAAGGGACAGGCCTTTTCTATGGTGGCCCCTCAGGTGTGGAACTCCCTCCCAAGCGAAATTAGATCAGCTCCATCCCTCCTGAGCTTTCGGAAACAAGCGGAATCCTGGCTATGGGATCAGGCCTTTGCAGACTAGCAACGGTTTTAATAGACTTGATGGACTGCTTTTAGGACGATGACTTAAATTGGCGACTGTTTGAATGTTTTTATATTATTTCTATTTAAATTGTATATTTATGCTTTCGCTTGTGGGCACCATGGTGTGCTGGTTGTGAGCCGCCCCGAGTCCCTCTGCGGAGGTTGAGATAGGACGGGATACAAATGTCCAAAATAAATAATAATTAAATGCACATCCTCCTCATCTTTCTTTTTCGTTCTCTCTCTTTCTTTGCAGAGTCCCAGCGGAGCCACAGCCCACGCAGATGTAAGTCATTGAGTCTCAGTTGGGAGGGATCTCTAAAGGCCACCCAGCCCAACCCCATACAGAAAGGAACAATCCGATCCTTTCTGACAGATGACCATCCAGCCTCTGCTTAAAAACCTCCAGAGAAGGAAGGAGTCGGAGGGACGGTGACTTCCCTCAGTGTGTTAGACACTAGTCTCAAATGGGTGGATGCAGCCCAGAATCACATTGGCTTATTTTGCTGTTGCATCCCACTTTTAATACTAACATGTTCAGATTCTCATCTGTGAAGACTCCTCGGCCCTTTTCATAAACAGATATTGCCCGTTCATATCCTGTGATGCTTCCCTCTGTATTCAGCCCGGAATTGCGTTGGTCTATTTTGCTTCTATTTGTTAAGCTAAGGCGCAACTTGACAGAAGCAAATGCTAGATACACCAGATACAGCTCTGTAAAATCATGGACTCTGGAGACGTCAGGTTACAAGGAAAATTCAGTTTACTAAGCACAGAGCAAAAGCACATCCATCTTCAGCGAGCAACACACAGGATAACACACAGGAAAACTGAAAGTCAAAACAGTTCTTTTGCAGCTGCTTAGCTCTTCTGCTCCAAGTGGTTAACTCCCTAAATTTTCTCAGCAGCAGCAGAGAGCTTATCTTAAGGTCACTCAATCACAGCCTCAACATAAACATTTCAGCATAGCATTACACTCTTAAGTGGCATCCATATTGGTAATACAAGAATTACATTTAAAACACACAATTATATTTCAATAAATCCTGACACTATTAAGATGCCTAGATATGTCATAGACAGATATTGCCTGTCCCTATCCCATAATATTCAGTGGACAATCACATTGGCCTTTTTTGCTGCAGCGCCACACATTTAGCTCATGTTTACTTTATTGTCTATTACGACTCCTAGGTCCCACATGTTGCAAAGCCATGTCTCATTCACTCATATCCTATATTACTTACCTCAGAACTCATATTGATGAAGCCTAGAATCGCTTTGTCCTTTTTCGCTGCAGCACCACATGGCTCATGATGCTCAGCTGGGGGTCTCTCTACGAAGGCTCCGAGATATCCCTTCCTAGGCAGATATCACCCATCTCTGTCCTGTAAGGCTTTCCTCGATACATTCAGCCTGCAATGGCCTTGGCCTTCTCTGCTGCAGCATCACACTCTCTGGCTCGTGTTCCCCTCCAGACCACGGCTACACCACTCTGGCCACCAGCGTCACCCTCCTGAAGGCCTCCGAAGTGGAGGAGATCCTGGACGGGAATGACGAGAAGTACAAGGCCGTCTCCATCAGCACAGAGCCCCCCACCTACCTCAGGTTTGTGTGTGCGTGTGTATACTAGCTGTCCTCTGCCACGCGTTGCTGTGGCCCAGTCTGTGTATATGTGTTTTGTGTGTGTATATGTGTGTATATCTTTCTGTATCTGTATATATGTGTGTTTGTGTATATATGTGGTTTTGTGCATGTGTGCAGTGGCCCAGCCTGTGTTTTGTGTGTGTATATATGTATATATATATGTGTGTGTTTGTGTATATATGTGGTTTTGTGCATGTGTTGTAATGTATTTTTTTGGTTTTTTTTAGCTTGTTAGTTCTCTTCTGCTGTGTTTTTCCATGTTTTTAAGAGTGATGGTCACTTGTTGGCCTGTTTGGTGTCTTGTGTCCAAATTTGGTGTCAATTTGCCCAAGGGTTTTAGAGTTATGTTAATCCCACAAACGAACATTACATTTATTTATGTGTGTGTGTGTGTGTGTGTGTATTCCCCTTACTATTTATTTCCCTTCATAAAAGACACAGGCATTTCCCCTCCTATTGTTATCTATTCCTCTTAGTGGTGGTAGTCTATCATTTCACCTGTTCTACTCCGGCCACTCCCTTGGCCGCCAGGGAGCTTCCAGGCAAAGGGTTGCCTCTGGCTTAAGAATCTCATTCTGCAGAACAGGGGCATCCTTCTCGGCACCCAAGCGAGGCTCCTCCCACTTGCGTACAGCCAAGCCCCTCCCCTCTCAGCAAGGCCCCTCCCCTTAGCGTCCTATTTACATAGAGCCAGCCCCCTCCCCTCCAAGTGAAGCCACGCCCACAACCCTCATTTCCCTTAGAGCCAAGCCCCGCCCCTCCAAGTGAGTCTGTCACTCCAGCTGAGGCTCCTCCCCTCATTCACTTCTCCAGGTGAGGCTCCTCCCCCACCCTCCTCACTTACCCCTCCCCTCAAAGTGAGGCTCCTCCCCTTAGCCTCCTGTTATTTACATAGAACCAGGCCCCTCCCCTCCAAGTGAAGCCATGCCCACAACCTCTTCTTTCGCTCATAGAGCCAAGCCCCGCCCCTCCACCCGAGGGCCTGCCACTCAAAGTGAGGCTCCTCCGCTCATCTTCCTGTCACTTACATAGAGCCAGGCCCCGCCCATTCAAGTGAGGTTCCTCCCCCTTAGTCGTCTGTCAACAGCATAGAGCCAAGCCCCTCCCCTCCAAGCAGGCTCCTCCCCCTCAGCCTCCTGTCACTTGGATAGAGCCAGGCCCCTCCCCTACAAGCAAAGCCACGCCCACAACCCTCATTTCCCTTATAGAGCCAAGCCCCGCCCCTCCAAGTGAGTCCACCACTCAAGCGAGGCTCCGCCCCCACCCTCCTGTCACTTATCCCTCCCATTCCAGCGAGGCTCCTCCCCCTTAGCCTCCTGTCCCTTGCATGGAGCCAAGCTCCTCCCCTCTCAGTGAGGCTCCTCCCCTCAGCCTCCTGTTGTTTACATAGAGCCAGGCCCCTCCCCTCCAAGTGAAGCCACACCCACATCTCCTCCCCTCATTCTTTTCTCTAGGTTAGGCTCCTCCCCCACCCTCCTGTCACTTACCCCACCCATCCAATTGAGGCCCCTCCCATTTAGCTATCTGTCACTTGCATTGAGCCAAGTCCCCTCTGAATGAAGCTCCTCCCCCTCAGCCTATCCCATTTTGCCTGTGGGCTTTCTCTCTTTCCACCAGGAGCAGGTGGCCAATCACAGCAGCCAGACTCCGCCCCTCCAAGTGAGGCTCCTCCCTCTCAGTGTCTCTTGCCACTCACATACAGCCAAGCTCCACCCCTTCAAGTGAAGCCCCTCCCCTCTGAGTGAGGCCCTCCCCCTCAGTCTCTTCTTCCCACTAGTGTAGAGACAAGCCCCTCCCCTCCAAGCAAGACTCCTCCCCCTCAGCCACTTCCTGTTACTTGTGTGAGCCGAGCCCCTCCCCTTATGCGCCCCTTTCCACTTGTCTAGAACCAAACCCCGCCCCTCTGAGTGAAGCCCCGCCCCTCCAAGCGAGGCTCCTCCCCCTTGGCCAATTCCCTGTCTTGCTTGTGGCTCTCCTTTCTGCAGGGATCAAAAGGCCATGCGTGGCAGCCAAGCCCCGCCCCTTGAAGTGAAGCTCCTCCCCCTCAGCCTCCTCCTGCCACTAGCATCGAGCCAAGCCCCTCCCCTCCAAGTGAGGCTCCTCCCCTTATGCTCCTCTTGTTTAGAACCAAGCCCTGCCCCTCTGGGTGAAGCCCCACCCTTCCAAGCAAGGCTCCTCCCCTCAGCCATCTCTTGCCACTAGCATACAGCCAAGCTCCACCCCTTCAAGTGAAGCCCCTCCCCTCTGAGTGAGACCTCTCCCCCTCAGCCTCTTCTTGCCACTAGGATAGAGCCAAGCCCCTCCCCTCCAAGCGAGGCTCCTCCCCCTCAGCCTCTTCCTGTTACTTGTGTTGAGCCAAGCCCCTCCCCTCCAAGAGAGGCTCCTCCCCTAGCCCTCCTACTTCCAAGCCCCACCCCTCATAATGAAGCCCCTCCCTTTGAGTGAGGCTCCTCCCCCTCAGCCATCTCTCACCACAAACATACAGCCAAGCTCCGCCCATCCAAGTGAGGCTCCTCCCCCACCTGTCACTTGCATAGAACCAAGCCCCTCCCCTCCGAGTGAGGCTCCTCCCCTAGCCCTCTTATTTCCAAGCCCCGCCCTTCAAAAGCCCCTCCCCTCTGAGGCTCCTCCCCTCAGCCATCTCTCGCCACTAGCATACAGCCAAGCTCCACCCCCTCAAGTGAGGCCCCTCCCCCTGTCACTTGCATAGAGCCAAGCCCCTCCCCTCTGAGCGAGGCTCCTCCCCCTCAGCCATCTCTCCACTAGCATACAGCCAAGCTCCACCCCTTCAAGTGAGGCTCCTCCCCCTCCCTCTGTCACTTGCATAGAGCCAAGCCCCTCCCCTCTGAGCAAGGCTCCTCCCCCTCAGGCTCTTCCTGTTCCTTGTGTTGAGCCAAGCCCCTCCCCTCCGGGTGAGGCTCCTCCCCTAGCCCTCCTATTTCCAAGCCCTGCCCCTCAAAATGAAGCCCCTCCCTCTGAGTGAGGCTCCTCCCCCTCAGCCTCCTCTTGCCACTGGTCTAGAGCCAAGCCCCGCCCCTCTGAGTGAGGCCCCTCCCCTCGGGGCAAGGCTCCTCCCTCCTGACCTGCCTGTGACCTCTCCCTCGCTCTCTCTCTCTCGCTCTCTCTCCGTCCCCGCGCAGGGAGCAGAAGGCCAAGCGCAGCAGCCAGTGGGTGCCCACGCTGCCCAACAGCTCCCACCACCTGGATGCCGTGCCCTGCTCCACCACCATCAACCGCAACCGCATGGGCCGCGACAAGAAGAGGACCTTCCCCTTGTGGTCAGTCTGCGAAGGGGGAGGGGGGTGTTTTCCCACAAGCCGTCCCTTTGGCGGGTGGGGAGAGGGGCCTGGCTGGAGGGGCGTGGCATGACTCTTCCGCCCTCCCCCCATGGCCCTATGGATGCAGCTTTGACGACCACGATCCGGCCGTGATCCACGAAAACGCCTCTCAGCCGGAGGTCCTGGTCCCGATCCGGCTGGACATGGAGATCGATGGGCAGAAGCTGCGGGACGCCTTCACCTGGAACATGAATGGTAGGCACCCAAAGGGCGGGGGGGGGGGTGCTCTCATTGTATTCTGCGAATAGGATCCAGAGAAGGGTCCACCGTCAAAGCTCTCCCAACAGATAACCATCCCGCCACGATTGGGAGCATGGCTTTAACAATAATAGTGATATACTAGTATTTATATATTAATTTTTATTATTTTATTAATAGGTATAATAATAATGTATAAATATAATTACAATCATAATAAAATAGTAATAATGGAGTATATTTATTTGTTTCTTTCTGTATTTATTTGTTTACATAATTATAATATTTATTTATTTGTTTATATATTATTATTATTATTATTATTAATAATAATAATAATAATAATAATAATAATATAATGCCAGCAGAGTGATCTCATCAGCTGTGGACTCATCTTGTTGTGTTTCAAATAGTAATAATAACTTTGATAATGTATAATAAGTGGAATATAATATTGATAATAATAATAATTTGATTATTATTAGTACTACTATTATATTACAGTGAAATAATATGCTACTATTATTTCATCATAATATAATAATGATATAATATTGATGTAATATAATCCTGTCATATTGCTATGATGTAATACTATAATAATAATAATAATAATAATAATAATAGGTATAATAATAATAATCCTGTTATATTGCTATGATGTAATACTATAACAATAATAAGTATAATAATAATAATTTATAAATAAAATCATCGTAGAATAATGATAATGGGATATAATAATAACAACAATGGGCTATAATAACATTTATAATGTATAATAAGTTAAAAATAAATAATCATTATTTTATTAGTAGTAGTAATACTATTGTAATTATAGTAATATACTATTATATCACCATAATATAATAAATGATATATTTGTATAATATAATTATAATATAATACAGATATTGCTGTGATATAATACTATTATAATGATATTCCATTATTACAATATATTATTATTGGATTATTACAATAATTTCAAATTATCCCAGTAATAAGACTCCACTTTTCATCATCATGGTGTTATTATTGCTGTTGTTGTTGTTTGCCTTTCCTGCCCTGCAGAGAAACTGATGACCCCGGAGATGTTTTCGGAGATTCTGTGTGACGACCTGGACTTGAACCCCCTGACCTTTGTCCCGGCCATTGCTTCGGCCATCCGGCAACAGATTGAGTCGTATCCCACGGACAGCATCCTGGAGGACCAGTCCGACCAGAGGGTCATCATCAAGGTTGGCAGCCAGCCTCTCAAGCACTGCGAGGGTCATGCATGGGCAGGGCCTGGCAGAGTTGCTTCCTTAGCGGCTGGAGTCTGCTCCTGGGCCTCTGCCTTTCAGTGAGGTGCGCCTTTCCTTCCGTCCCTGCAGCTGAACATCCACGTGGGGAACATTTCCCTGGTGGACCAGTTTGAGTGGGACATGTCCGAGCGGGAGAACTCCCCGGAGAAGTTTGCCCTGAAGCTCTGCTCGGAGCTCGGCCTCGGAGGGGAGTTCGTCACCACCATCGCCTACAGCATCCGCGGGCAGCTCAGCTGGCACCAGAAGACCTACGCCTTCAGGTGAGCGAGCGCCAGGAGCACGGGTGGGTGGGTGGATGAAGAGATGCTGCAGCTAGTGAGGCAGATCTCATCCTGGGCTGAATTATATACATATAGTTATCATATAGTTATCTCCGAACATATTCTCCCCTACGAATCATCAAAATTACTAAGATCATCTGGAGAGGCCCTGCTCTCGGTCCCACCAGCCTCACAAGCGCGCCTGGTGGGGACGAGGGACAGGGCCTTCTCGGTGGTGGCCCCGCGACTCTGGAACTCTCTCCCTCTGGAGGCCAGAACCGCCCCATCCATCCTAACATTTAGGAAACGGGTGAAGACGTGGCTGTGGAGTCAGGCCTTCAAGGAATGAGACAACACCATAGGACTCTGGATGGAAGTGGATATAGATCCATCTTAATAGGACGACTGACCACTGTAGTTTTATATTTAGTGTATTTTAAAGTTGTTTTGTAATTTGTGATATATGATATTTTAATGAATGTATATGTTTTTATGGCTGGAAACCGGGCTGAGTCCCTCAACGAGGTTGAGAAGCTCGGTATACAAAACTGTGAAATAAATAATAATAAATAATATATGCACCGAGGGCAGCGTTGCAGGGAGCAGAGGAGTGGCGTCTGCTAATGAAAGGGATCTAAGAAACTTAGTAGACTGTAGGGTGGACATGAGCCAAGAGTGTGATGCTGCAGCAGAGAAAGCCAAGGCGATCCTGGGCTGAATATACTGAGGGCAGCATTGCAAGGAGCGGAGGAGTGGCATCTGCCTATGAAAAGGACTTAGGAGTCTTAGTAGATTATAGGATGAACATGAGCCAAGAGTGTGATGCTGCAGCAGAGAAGGCCAATCTGAATGAATGAATGAATGAATGAATACACACACACACACACACACATAAATTGAGCACTGAGGACAGCGTTGCAAGTAATGGAGGGGTGACATCTGCCAATGAAGGGGGCCTAGGAGTCTTAGTAGATTATAGGATGAACATGAGCCAAGAGTGTGATGCTGCGGCAGAGAAGGCCAATCTGATCCCAGGCTGAATATATATATTTGAGCACCGAGGCAGCATTGCAAGTAATGGAGGGGTGACATCTGCCAATGAAGGGGACCTAAATATTTATGAAATATTTATTATTATTATTATTATTATTATTATTATTATTATTATTATTATTTGCATTGAGGGCAGCATTGCAAGGAATGGAGGGGTACCTAAATATTTATGAAATATTTATTATTATTATTATTATTATTATTATTATTATTATTTGCATTGAGGGCAGCATTGCAAGKAATSGAGGGGGTGACACCTGCCAATGAAGGGGRCCTAAATATTTATGAAATATTTATTATTATTATTATTATTATTATTATTATTATTATTATTATTATTATTTGCAYTGAGGGCAGCRTTGCAAGGAATGGAGGGGGTGACACCTGCCAATGAAGGGGGCCTAAATATTTATGAAATATTTATTATTATTATTATTATTATTATTATTATTTGCACTGAGGGCAGCGTTGCAAGGTGACACCTGCCAATGAAATGGGCCTAAGAGTCTTAGTAGACTCTAGGATGGACAGGAGGCTAGAGTGTGAGGCTGCAGCAAACAAAGCTAATAGAATTGTGGGCTTAATGAATAGGAGTCTCAGTATGGGATAGGGATGAGTGACACCTCTACTGACTGTAAGGCCAATGTGAGCCAAGGGTGCGATGCTGCAGCAAGAAGAACTAACCCAAAGCCCCCTCCATGCGCTTCCCTTCCAGCGAGAACCCCCTCCCGACGGTGGAGATCGCCATCCGCAACACAGGAGATGCCGACCAGTGGTGCCCGCTGCTGGAGACCCTGACGGATGCCGAGATGGAGAAGAAGATCCGCGACCAGGACAGGAACACAAGGTATATTATTATTATTATTATTATTATTATTATTATTATTATTATTATTATTATTATTATTATTATTATTAGAAATACAACAAAATGAGCCCACAGCAGACAAAATCGCTATGCTGGCTGTTGTATTGGAACACATGTCAGTCCCTTCCTAAATGTCTAGGAGTGGGTGATGTATCGGCGAATGATGCGTGCAGATCCCAGTAAGGTGGCCTTCTGCAGCTGGTAATTTTGTCAGCGCTGATTGTGTATAAGTGCAGGCCAAGGTCTTGAGGCACTGCACCCAGTGTGCTGATCACCACTGGAAGCACCTTGACAGGCTTGTGCCAGAGTCTTTGTTTTATTATTATTGATTATTATTATTATTATTATTATTATTATTATTATTATTATGGGTTGTTGTAGGCCCTACGGTCATCTTATTGTTGTTGTTGTTGTTGTTGTTGTTGCCTGGATCTTGGCCATCTGCCAGGAGGTCTTGTATTTAGTCTTGTATTCCTAATAACAACAACAACAACAACAACAAACAACTTAATGTATATCTCGTCACCATCTCCCCGGAGGATTAGGGTGAGGATTAGGGTTCCAACTCTGGCGTCATATGGGCTCTCCTCTCCTTCTTTGGAGGACCTTGAAGCAGCTTGGACGGTGGGCATCTGTCAGGAGAAATGTGTTTCTTTTGTATTCCTTACTAGATGACCCTTTGACCCCTTCCAACTCGGGCATCATGTAGACTTCTATTGAAAGTAATGGGCTTTCCTTCTTGGATTATTGTATTGTCGAAGGCTTTCATGGCTGGAATCACTAGGTTCTTGTGGGTTTTTTCGGGCTATAGGGCCATGTTCTAGAGCAGGGGTAGGGAACCTTTGGCCCTCCAGCTGTGGTGGACTTCAACTCCCACAATTCCTTGAGGCTCGGCATTGGGCCAAGGTAAGCCTTTGGGGCGAATGCCGAGCCTCAAGGAATTGTGGGAGTTGAAGTCCACCACAGCTGGAGGGCCAAAGGTTCCCTACCCCTGTTCTAGAGGCATTTCTTCTGACGTTTCGCCTGCATCTATGGCAAGCATCCTCAGAGCTAGTGAGGTCTAAGGATGCTTGCCATAGATGCAGGCGAAACGTCAAGAGAGAATGCCTCTAGACCATGGCCATACAGCCCGAAAAAAACCAGCATGGGGCCAGACTAGATGACCCTTTGGGGACCCCCTTCCAACACTAGCATCGTATAGGCTTCTATTGAAAGTAATGGGCTCTCCTCCTTTAAACAGCTTGGAGGGATTAAGTCTTGTATCCTGCACTGTGCTTATATTATATATATATAATATATTGTATATACATATACTATTGATAATATTATAATGTAATACAATATAATACAATATAATACTACTAATAATAATATGATGATCTAATTATATAATTTATATTACATGTAATATTACTAATAATATTACAGTATAATGTTATAGTACAATATAGTAATATATATAATTCAATATTGTGCTATGGTAATAATATAACATATTGCATTTACATATTAATTGTAAGCTGCTCTGATTGCCCTTCAGGGTGATAAGGGTGGCATATCAATGTAAATAAATAAATAAATATCTTGCCTGGGACTAGATGACCCTGTGGGTTCCCCTTTTATTTATTTATTTATTTACTGCGCTTATATACCGCAATTCTCAGCCCTTTAAGGGCGACTCATTGCGGTGTACAACATGAAAAAACAAGTGCAATTTACAAAACATAGTGCAAAATAACCCACAATTCATCCTTATCAGAAAAACATCTTATAAAACATCAACATTATTACAAAATTTCTACTACATTCCGAATCGTCTCATCGTCAAACCCACAATCCGGTATCATTTCCGTTGTTCCATTCCTATGGTCGAATTACCAGTCATTGCACTTCTTGTTCAAACGCCTTCTTAAACAGCCAGGTCTTTAACTTCCTGCGGAATATCAGCAGGGAGGGGGCTAGCCTGATGTCCACGGGAAGGGTGTTCCACAGCCGAGGAGCCACCACCGAGAAGGCCCTATCTCTCGTCCCCGCCAGCCGTGCCTGTGAAGCAGGCGGGATCGAGAGCAGGGCCTCCCCGGAAGATCTCAAAGTCCTCGTGGGCTCATAGGCCGAGAGGCGGTCAGTTAGGTATCTTGGGCCGGTTCCCCTTTTGGGCGTCTCTTTGAAGGTTTGCAGGTCTCCCTAGAGTTGGAGAAAGGTGGCCACCTGATCCCTCCCAACAGATGGCCATCCTGCCCAGTCATAATAATAATGGGGTCCCATGGTAATGCGGGTGCTGTCTCTTCCTCCCTGCAGGCGCATGAGGCGTTTGGCCAACACGGCTCCGGCCTGGTAGCCTCCGAAGGAAGGCAAAGAAGACAAGGCCGTGGCGGACCTGGGACTGGCTCCCTCTTTCCTTCCTTCCTTCCCTCCCTCCCTCCCTTCCTTCCTGTCTCTCTCTGTTTCTCTCTCTCTCTCTCCCTTGAAGACAACTTTTTGAATAAACGTGTTAATATTTTGGTTTCCACTCACTTGCAGGGCTCTCTATTTTCCCCTGGAATGACGGATTGGGACCTTGAGGGGGAGGAGCCTCCCTAGGGGGCGGGGCTTTGTTTTACGCAATTGAGGGGAGGAGCCCTACTTGGAGGGGTGGGGCTTTAGCCTTTGTTCTATGCAATTGAGGGGAGGAGCCTTGCTTTCACGGTGGGGCGATGGAAGGGAGGAGCCCTAATTTTGGGGCGGGGCTTCATTCTACAACTGCAAGTGGATTGAGCAGAGGAGCCTCGATTAGGGGCGAGGCTTTATTTTATGCAAATGAGGAGAGAAACCTCAATTTGGGGGCAGGGCTTCAGTTCCACAATCACTTGGGGGTGGGGCTATGTTTTATGTAAATGAGGGGAGGAGCCTTAATTTTGGGGCGGGGCTTTAGTCTATAATTGCAAGTGGATTGAGAGGAGGAGCCTCGATTGGGGGCGTGGCCCTGTTCTTGAGGGGAGGAGCCTATCTTGGAGGGGCGTGGCTTCTCTGCCTCTTGTTTATGCAATTTAAGGGAGGAGCTTCATTCTACATTTGCAAGTGGGTTGAGGGGAGGAGCCTCACTTAGAGGGGCGTGGCTTTGGTCTACAATGGCAAGTGGATTGAGGGGAGGAGCCTCGCTTGGGGCGTGGCTCTGTTCTCGAGGGGAAGGGCTAACTTGGAGGGGCGTGGCTTCTCTCACCCCATGAAAGGGAGGAGCTTCGCTTGGCGGGCGTGGTTTTGCTATATGCACTTGAAGGGAGGAGCCTCGCTTGGAGGGGCGGAGCTTCCTTCTACATTTGCAAGTGGATTGAGGGGAGGAGCCTTCATTGGGGTGTGTGGCTTAGTTTTATGCAAATGAGGGGAGGAGCCTCAATTTTGGGGTGGGGCTTCGGTCTACAATTGAAAGGTGATGGAGGGGAGGAGCCTCGCTTGGAGGGGCGTGGCTTTTCTGCCTCTCTTGGAGGCATATCCTTGTTTATGCAACGGAGGGGAGGAGCCTCTTGCTTGAAGGGGCGGAGCTTCATTCGGTTTGCAAGTGGATTGAGGGGAGGAGCCTCGCTTGGGGGCGTGGCCCTGTTCTCGAGGGGAGGGGCCTATCTTGGAGGGGCGTGGCTTCTCTCGCCCTGTGAAGGGGAGGAGCCTCGCTTGGAGGCGTGTCCTTGTTTATGCAACGGAGGGGAGGAGCCTCTCTTGAAGGGGCGGAGCTTCCTTCTATATTTGCAAGTGGATTGAGGGGAGGAGCCTCCTTGGAGGGGCGTGGCTTCGGTCTACAATGGCGAATGGATTGAGGGGCGGAGCCTCGCTTGGGGGCGTGTCCTTTTTCTCAAGGGGAGGGGCCTATCGTGGAGGGGCGTGGCTTTATTGCTCTCTCTTGGAGGACATGTACTTGTTTATGCAATGAAGGGGAGGAGCCTCGCTTGAAGGGGCGGAGCTCCATTCTACAATTGCAAGTGGTTTGAAGGGAGGAGCCTCACTTAGAGGGGCGTGGCTTCGGTCTATGGCAAGTGGATTGAGGGGCGGAGCCTCATGTGGAGGCGTTCTCCACATGTTCTCAAAGGGAGGAGCCTATCTTGGAGGGGCGTGGCTTCTCTCGCCCAATAAAGATGAGGAGCTTCGCTTGGAGGGCGTGGTTTTGCTGTATGACCTTGAGGGGAGGAGCCTCGCTTGAAGGGGCGGAGCTTCACCCTACATTTGCAAGTGGATTGAGGGGAGGAGCCTCGCTTGGAAGGACGGACACGCCCCCTCCTTCTCTTCCCGACCAATCGCGGGCGGAGAGGGCGTGGCCTACGAGCAGCGAGCGGCCCGAATCCGGCCAGCCAATCAGCACGGGCGTCATTTGCATACGGATGTATCACGGTGGAGTCTCAAGGGGGCGTGGCCTCAGGAAACGTGGAAGCGGAACGTCACCGCTAGGGGGCCGATGCCGGCTCGGGAGCCGCCAGCCAACCAGCGCTGCCCTCATTTGCATACAGTCAGAGAAGGTAATGGCTCACTCAGGAGAGAAATTCCCTCAGGATTCTGCCATTCAAGGCTGAGGAATTAACCAGGAAGGAAGGAAGGCAGCCAGGCCATGGTTTCCCTCCTCCAGAAGATGGTAAATATACACTATTGCTTGTTGCAGCCATAAGGCCAACCTGGGCCCTCCCTCCTGGTGCTTTGGACNAACACCAGGAGGGAGGGCCCAGGTTGGCTCTCTACCTGTGTGAGGCATTGATCTTTGTTTAGGCTACAGAATACCATTAATTATTAATTAGAGCACAGCATCAGCCTTCCCCATCAACCAAGAATTAAAGGCAGTTAAATTATAATATAATAATAATATATATAAATAAAATATAAATATTTTTTCTCCCATCAATGCATTGCATTGAAATAACAAGAAGGCACCCCCTCTCTCTCTCTCTATCTCTATATATATATATATATATATTTAATACCCCACCTCTTCCTTATATTTATCTATTTTATTATTTATTTACTGTATTTATTTTATTATTTTATTT